CATGGAACGCAAATGCGGGTTAGTTCCATCAAAAAGTCCTCCAGGAAGGCCAATTTCTACCAATATTTGATCAAGGAGTTCCGTTGTCTTCTGGATTAGGTTCAAAATCACAAATCTACGGAGTTGAACATTGGTAGTCGTAAACCCAGAATTGGGCCAGCTGTTCAACGGCGGTTATAAAGTAAAACATTTACCTTGGTTAAAATGACAAGTTCTGATAGTAGAAAATCGAGTTACTAAGAGCACAGCATGTTTTAATTTTATTGTAAACGTAGCACTAAAGTTATATTGATGGCTATCCACCCATGATATTTGAAAACATCATTTAGAGAAAAGCTTTTAATATTTTACCTTTTACGTTTTAAAATATCGTGTTAATCGACCAATTTTAAATACGGTCTACTTCGGATGAATTCTGTCCTTAAAATATCGGGTGAATCGTATAATTCTATATATGGCCTATATTGACTGAATAACGGCTGTAGAGTCTGATACTTCTATATCGAACCGATATAGTCTGAATAACGGCTTTAAAATATCGGGTGAACTTAACAAACCTGTATAGGACAGATATTGAGTAAATAAGGGAATCGAACATTTCTATATTGGTCTAATATTGGCAAAATAATGGCCCTTTAAAACCTTGCTGGGACAAGATTGGTGACAATATTGGCCCAATGAGTTTCTAAGTTATTTTGCTACTGGGTAGTGATGTTTGACTTTTGTGTTCTGTCGGGTACCGTGCCTCATTCTACTGTGGAACAGAAAATGAATAGAACAACTACTGTTCAAACGGTGAAATAATTCTTGAGAGGAACTTTCACACTGCATGCGATTCATGCTATTAAATTAGTGCAAACGATATATAGAGAGTTACGAAATGACAGACTGAAACCTACCTTTACTGAATGAACGCACTTTTTTTTCCCCAACAGTTTCAAATTCTTAGCCCTCAATCTGGAAAATATGGTTACAATAATTTGGTTGAAAGTTTGAACCCCTCAGTGTTATTATCATGCTAAAATTTGCATAACACATTTCTAACATTTAAAAACTAAATTATTATCTTATTCAATCCTTTTTTAATAAATAAAAATCATTAATATAACCAGTATCTTTTTATACCACAACCTGGAATTGAACGCAGAATGAAATCTATTTTTAGAAATTCCATCTACAGCTGCATTACACATTAGCATAGAATTCAAAAACCGTTACATGTTCGCTAAATGTTTTGATTTTATTCATTATTATTTCTCACATCTTCTTTTCCGCCAATGCATTTGAATGAGCAAGGCTTTAAGCTCTTTTGCCAAATAATTCGACAGATAATTTGCAGATAATTCGACAATCATCTTTTTATGATCATATAAAATCTTTAGTTTCGTATGAAATTTTTAGTTTTCTATGAAAATTATACTTTTATGAAAAATACAACTTTCGCATTTTTCAATTGTGATATTTAGTACTCTAAATATCATACATAGCTACTTAATTACTAAAATACTGAATAAAAACGGAATTAATAATCAATAAAAATAACAAATAACTTTTTTCCCCAACTCTGTGAGTGTTGGGAAACCTGTGACAATTCTCCGTGAATTTATAGAAGTTTTCTTATTACCTACAGCGTTTATTATTATCTTTAACTTAATTAGCTCGCTTTCGTGTTTGTAACGATGGTAACATGCAATTGATATTTCAACTGCTTTCCAACTAGCTAGAGTACTCAAATCTTTACTTGAGCTTCGTGCTTATTGTGAATACAAGTCGTTTTCTGACCACAACGATGAGAGTTTATTACCATTTTATTGCTTCCGAACCACTGAAAGCTAAGTTTATCGTCATTTTATCAGTAAAAATTTTTCGTTAAACGATTCGTTTTTCGCCTTATTAGTAAAATTCTCAAATTTCAACTGTGTCTGATGACAATTCAAGTTACATTTGTTTTTTAAAAATTGAAAAATAAAATTTATCTCCATTTTTATTGGCAATTAAAATTTTGACCTTTTTCTAACATTAATAGGTCCAAAACTAGAAAAAATAAGATTTAAAATAAAAATGTCAAGAGCTATGAATATTTAGGTGGACTTAAAAGAAAAAAATAATTTTATTTTTGCTACACCTAAAGCGAAAAACATAGGCGCATCACTTTCTAGAGACGGAGAGAGAGAGAGAGGGGAATTAAAGTTGGTGATAATTACCCTCCTCTCCCCCCTCTTTAAAAAAGTGATGCGTCCAACGTTTTTTTTTGTTTTGTTTTAGGAGTGGCAAAATCGAATGCTTTATTTTTTTTTCTCACTCACTTGAAAAACGTAGCGTTTAAAATTTTATTTTACATTATAATGCGAAATAAAATTTTTATTTCAATCAATTATTAATTACACTCAATTTATTTATTAAAAATCAATCAAAAAATATTCGACCCATTTAATATGTTGTACAGTTAAAGTTCTGAATTAATTATAAGTTAACTTTATAATTGAATAATTTTATGTTACTTCATTTTGATTTCTCTTCTGTGAAAATTAACAATAGAAAGTGAATTTTGTATTCAAGTCATAGACTGATAGAGCGATTGCTTTATAATGCACAATATGCTTGTATTGCACACTAGTTTTATTGAAAATTAACAAATAGTGAGAGAAGGATCTTAACGAAAAGATCTATCAGTTTTATTTGTTTATATTTTGCTTACATAATCTGTTGGCCGTAACAAAACGATTGTTGTTTGCCTGTCGGTCAGACCACAGCACAGCAAGGTTTTAAACGCAAATATTATAAAATGGTTATTATAAAAAGACCACATGCAAGCAAGGTGAAATTTAGTTATAATCAAATAGAAAAGTTGTCTTTCCTCACTCTAATAAAAGATTTTAAATTAGCTAAATTTAAAAAACAATTGTTATCAATTATTTGCATTGATATAGACCAATTTTTAAATTAATAGTTAAAATAACTTAACAATTTAACTATTATTTTTTGAGAACAGGATCATTGATGTATGTACATAAATAATCTAATATTATTTTGAGAAGTTTAATACTGTTCAATTATGATTTTAAAAAAGGATTAGAAATGTTTTAATGCATTAAGCTTATGCATTTAAATTATATGTTGTTTTATGTATGTAAACAATATATTATATTTAACTAAAACTGGTTATTAATTTTCATTTCAGCACAATATTGCAGCTACTTTTGTTTTAATCTATTCCCTATGCTTTTTCATTAAAGAAAATACAGGAATACAGAAAGCATCACTACAGTAAAGTAATTTAGAAAGTTATTAAAATATAAAGTTATAAAAAGAAAGGTTATAAAATTAAACCTATTAAATTATGGAGAAAATATAAGCTTTTTAAACTTGCTAACTATGTGTTAAATTTTTTTCAATTTATGCTAAACTGGTTTTAATTATATTCAAAATATTAATGCAAAGTTAGCTTTAAAAATAATGTAGAATTTGAAATTTTTTTGTCAAAGGAATGCAAATAAAAATTTAATTATAAAAACAGAGGAAAAAAACTACAACTGATGAATTCAATATTTTTGAAATGTAAAAACTTATAAAATTGCGAACCATAACATAATGAAAAAAAAAAATAAATAAAAAATAGAGAGAATTTGAAAATTGATTCGATATTTTCGGAGAAAGGGCGTGCTCACTCCCGCAAAAGTGGACTCTTTTCATTAAATAATCGGATGTTCCCGCATTAGGACTCAATGGGTTAGTGGGCCAAATCTTAAGTGTGTTAGTTTACTAATTCAGAAGATATTTTATTTTATACAATAAATTACGAAATCAGACACAAAAATGTACTTTCTCTGATAAACCTACCTTATTTCTGCTGATATGAAATTCTAATCCTTAAAATATAAATGTTAAGCTAATCGCAATCTGGAAAATATGGTCTCAATAGTTTAAGTAAGAGAGCTGTCGAAAGTTTGGACTCCGTAAATTTCACCTTTTGCGCATTCCGCTAAATCTCGAGAAATTTTTAAACAAATCAAAAGATCTTTGTATATTGTTATAAAATTCGTTAATCCAAAGGTAATTTTATTTATGAACAATTTTTATAATTATTTTATCTAATAGTAGACAAAAAATTTCTTAGTTGTTAATGTGTAAAAATTTTCACACCATTTTAATGTATGTAATTTCAAATAACAATGTGCAAAATTTGAACGATATAGATCGAATAGTTATTCAATTAATCAATCATAAAAGTTGTATATTTAAAACTTGATTTCGCGAAAACTTGTCCACCAATTTAATTTTAATTTCGTATTTTTAATTTAAAATTACATACTTAACAATGTAGTAACCTTGAATTATAAATTCCCTTCATTAGATGAAATATATAATAATAATTATTATTTTACGTGGAATTATATTCGAATAAGAGAATTTTATAATTGCGTTTAAAAACCTTTTAGGTTCACTTATCAATTTCGCGAGATGTAGCGAAACAAGCAAAAAAGTGAAATTAACATGAAGGGGTTCAAACGTTTAAAAGCTTTCCTGTATAAATTATTGGGGCAGTATTTTCTTGATTGTGGCTAACATATTTCAATGGTCAGAATACCAAATCTGTAGAAAAAATTAAAAAATATGTTTATGAGAAAGTGCTTTTTTGTGCCTGATTTCTTAACTTTAACTGTCGTCAGCATTAATTAACATATTTAAGATTTAGTCCTCGAACTTTGAGTATGCGAAAATGCGATCATTAGATTAGGTCAAAAGTTATTCTGAGCGTTCTCTTCTTATTTCGCTCACAGTATGTAAAATTTGGCGATTTTAACACTAGTTGAACACCAGATTTCTCCTAAAAACAAATTATTTATTTCGCCGAAAATAAAATTAAATTCTTATTACATTACAAAATATGTCTACTTTTTCCACATTAATTTTGAAACTAAAGAAATTTTTCCATTGACAAACATACGTAATCGTCTGTTGAAATAATCTATTTAAAATCAATTAATTAAAGAACTTACTCTATGATAAGTGAAAATCCCAAAATATTGCAACATTCAATAATCTATAAATGGGAAGGAGGAACACAAATTAAACTAACTTATACTTACTTTTTACGTCAGTCGTTAAGTCTTCAAAGAATCTCTGAGGGTTCTTGCTTCTTTTTCTAGCCTCGTTGCATTATTAAAACTTAAAAAACATGAATACTTTTAAAATCGAACCTAGTCTTCCTTAATATGAAATAAACGAAAAACATACTGAGTCGAGATAGAGTCGCGTGGCTTTGTTTCAATCTGTTTAAGTTATGAATATTCAATTTTCCAGTGTACGCGGAAAAGTAGTAACCGATGTTTCTCGTAATCATGTAATTGGCTTAAAAGAATATGCCAATCAAGGAACCTCTCTTTTATTAGCCCTCCCACTTTTTTTGCAACAACAGAAGTCGCCACCTTTTTCCTTTCTAGAGATTGAAATAAATAGAATACAATAGCAATTTATTTTAAACCATGATCTTCTGTAAAACCTTATAATCAGAGAAAATTAGTGAAAAATATTTCTACTAATAATGTTTTTTTTTTCCATTGGCACTTTATGGTGCCCCCTAAGCACAAGAAAAGCCCGCCAAATTCGCTAGCTCCCTCAGAAGTTAGGCTTACCTTTTAGGCTTAGCATTATGTTATGGGAATGATTGCACTCTTAAAAAATTATTTCAAAATTACCGAATCTTTTAAATTTAAAAAAAAAATGGTTTTTCGACAATTCATTTATTAATTTAAGGAATATTAACATTGATGGAAGAAATTATGGTTCATTTTTATTTCGTTTCAGAAATACATTTTGGTGAGCGAGCGAAGTAATTGCGAAAGCAATTGAGTAAAGATTGCCTCGCACCGTGAGCTGAGGAGGGTCCCCTAGTCTAGCTATGTATTTATCTAATTAAAAAAAGATACAAAAGCTTAAATTCTTAAAAATTCGAAGAAATTTCTTATTCAACAAACAATTGAAAACTGAAACATCAAGCGAGTGATTTCAAATCGCGATAGATATTTATATTTAGAGATATTAATATTTAGGAGCCTAAACTTTCTACTGCTCTCGTCATCAAACTATTGGAACTACATTTTCCAAATTGCTGCTCTTAGGCCGGAACAGCCTGGTTGGCAGGGCACTGGGCCCATGTCGAAGATATCGTGGGTTCGATCCCCGCAGACTAAAGACTCCATGTAGCAAATGGTGACTGATGCACGTTAAATTTGTCGGATAACAAAGTCCTCCATGTTCCCATAACAAATAAGTACCTCTGGGGTACTGATCCTGGAGCTCCCTTGTCTTCTGGTTTGAAATCAAAATTACAAGGCTATGGAGTTGAACATTGGTAGTCGTAAACCCAAAATTGGGTCAGTTGTTCAACGACGGTTATAAAAAAAAAGAACANAAAAAAAAAAAGGAGCGAGAGAGAATTGTGGCTCTTCCCTTTTTTTAATAGTTATAAATCCATATCTGTGGAATAAAAGGTATATTTATTCCGAGAAAGTAAGTTTTTATGTTTAATTTTTAACAGAACGTATATTGATGCAGACAGTTAACTCTTTGATGTAGATGGGACACTGGTGTTCCTTTTATATATTTACTGACTCTCTTATTTCAAGTAAACATGTATATTGGTATTTTTTAATTATAAAAAAAGATCTTAATAGTTACTGAAAAATCTGTTAGATTGTCGGAATTATATTTGCCCTGAAATATTAAACCCCCAGAAAAGTAGTCATTTTTATTCAGTTCATATTCATACACAGGTTCAAATCATATTAAAAAATTTAACAATAATCGATTTTGTAAATTAAGGAAAATTCAGTGATGAATAAATGTTTATTATTGATCTAAATAACTTCAAATAAGTGCAAATTTGAACATTTGTTGTTCGGACGTTTTTACCTTTGACACGGAAAAAAAAAAGAAATAAAAACGGTGTTTCATGCTGTATTTTATAACCATAAATTATTAAAATGCTGAAAATAATATTTTTCACTTATTTTGAGAGGCCAATAAAATACTCCGCTTAAATACATGAACCATTACATTTTCTCCATGGTTTAGTTAAATATGGTTGCTATTGCTACTAAAATACTTGTTAGACTTGCATTTTTTAAATATAGCACTTGCGAACTACAATAAACTAAAACTCATTTTTTTAAGAGAAAAAGATCCTTGAATTGGAATTGAATTGAAAATGCATGATATATGCCAACAGGCTGAGATGGACCATAGATGCGATCGTGAGACACTTGGTACTGATTTCCGATCAAACATATCCATTAACTGATTTTATGTTGCAAGTACGCTTTTTCCATCACAAATTGCAGGGTTATACTCTAATAGCCAATCGGGCCGAGGTGATTTAGTTTTATATTAGTTAGAGAGTGGTAAAAAATTAACCAGTTTAAAAAAAAAGAAAAAAAAGGATTTGTTTTCTTATTTAATGCAAACATACCTATGATAATGGCGTTGTAAAATATTAATATCGAATTCGGCTTAGTTTCTGCTATACTGTTAAAGTTCTCTTATTTCAAAATGAATATACATGTGACGGTATATTCGCTTGAAGCGATATTGTAAAATATTAATATCGAATTCAGCATAATTTTTGTTGTATTTTGAATTGGAATTGAATTACAAATGAATGATTTATACCAGTAGCTGTTATTTACATAATTTTCCAAACTTTTACTGATTTTTATTCAAAAGAAAACACCACAAAAATTATATTTTTATTGTATGGCAGAGGTAAATTTCTGTTGCTGACATAAAATCTTGGTACTTAAGCATCTTAATTAAATCTTTTAAAAGTTATTATTGTCATTACTAAAATTATCTTAGTCTTTAATTTTCCGATACCGATTGTGTAAGCGTCGGAAACATAGCAGGAAAAATAAAAATAATAAAAAGCTATTAGCTATTCTATTTTTTTCTTCCTTCTAATTAATCAAATTTTTTAATTAAACTATGTATTTTTTATTGAGTTGTGTGTTTGCTATAGATAGCAATCAACCCTTTTACACCTTGAAAATATCATCATTCCTTTAAGAAAAATTATTGTAACAACGGTGCCATGTTTATTTCTCTCTTTCTACCTTGATGTACAGATTTATATCCTGAATTATTCCCCATTGCTATTCGAAGAACCTTTCATTCCACGTAATGCATGTGTTTTGGGGAAATAAACAAAAAAGTTTACTCAACCCGCAACTCTAGATGAACATTATATTGATTGTCTTTCTTTGTTCTTTATGAGTAGGCTATGATGCGCCATAGATGCGATCGTGAGATTACTCTGTGACTTGGTGCTAATTTCCAGTCGAACATATCCATTAACTGATTTTATGTTGCAAGTAGGCTTTCCATCACAAAGACAAATTGCAGGTTTACATTCTAATAGTTAATTAAGCAGAAGAGATTTAGTTTTATAATAGGCAGAGGGTGGTTAAAAAGTTAACAAGTTTCAAAAATTAAAAAAAAGAAAGATTAGTTTTCGTCTTTTATACTAACATACATCTAATAGTGGAGATGTAAAATATTAATATCGAATTCAGCATAGTTTTTATTATACGGTTAAAGTTATCCTATTTCAAGTGAATATACATATGACAATAAATTCGCTTGAAATGGTATGGTAATTAATATCGAATTCGGCATAGTTTTTGTTATACAGTTGAAGTTCTCTTATTTCAAGAGAATATTCATATGTGGGTATATTCGCTTGAATTAATAACGAATTCTGCATAGTTTTTGTTAAATTTTTAAAGTTTTTTTTTATTCAAGAGTATAAATATAGGACATTGGCGTTGCAAAATATTAATATCATATTCGGTACAGTTCTTGTACGCAGTTAATGTTTCAGCATTCATTAATCTGCATAATCGCTTACCTCGCGTATCAATTAAAATTCTAATTCAACACCTAAGTTCAGTATTTTTCTAAAAATTATCCATTACTCAATTTTAAATGGAATTTACAATTTCACTTTCAAAATAACGATTAAAAAAACATTTATAATTGATTATTAGATAAATCAATCTTTGATTCTTGAGTAGTTTTTCAAATGTTTTTTGACAATATCTGTGTAATTTAAGGGCTACATTTGTGATTTTTTAAAAATGTAAATAATAACCAAATTTCAAAAAATAATAATATTTAATAAATAAACGTTGACTAAACAATAAGTAATTAAGAATTGAGTTAGAATAAATTGCTAATAACAGAATATATTTTTGGGGATATTTCTGTAGTATGTATTTAGATTATAAGTTATTAAATTTCTTAATATTATAAATGTATATATTTCAAAATTAAATTATAAAATATTAAATTTTATCCCAGTTCTACCTAATTACTTTGTCAAACAGTTGATTATTAAAAATCATTTTCGTCTTAAGAGTAACTTACGAGACTTTCGTCTCGTAAGCAAAATGTTAAACAATTGTTTCTTATTCATATTGTTAAAAATAAAATAAATAGAAACGGGATTCATATAGTTTATATTACAGAGACTTTTGGTACCATGAAATAATATCTAAGGTGCTTTAAAATAGTATATCAGCTAATAATAACATTAAAAAATTTAAACGCTACATTAAAAATTAAACGTTACATTAAACGGTGTACTAATCTAGTTAAGACTAAAAGTTTAATAATTGTTTCATTTTCATACAGTTAAAAGTAAAAATTTAAATATGAATGAACCAAGGTTCAGATAGTATATATAACAAATGCTTTTGCTATATTCAAATAATACTGAAGGTATTTTAAAATTGTTTATTAGCCAATAAAAAAAAAACCTGTTATCGAATATAATCAATTATAAAATTTTAGCAGCAATGATTAGAGTTGTTTGCTTTTCATATAAATAAAGCCCTTTTGCCTTTAATAAGAGTGAATTCCACCTCTTTTCGTATGGGGGGACTTTAAATAGTTTTTCTTTATCAATATTAATAGAGTTTTAAATTTTTTTTTTAATTGTAATGTTGAACAAATATATTTTTTTGTCGGCAGTTCTCTTTTTTTTAATGTAGACTTCATTTTAAATCAATAAGAAAATAATAAAGACTAAAGACTCCATGTAGNGTGACTTGGTGCTAATTTCCAGTCGAACATATCCATTAACTGATTTTATGTTGCAAGTAGGCTTTCCATCACAAATTGCAGGTTTACATTCTAACAGTTAATTAAGCAGAAGAGATTTAGTTTTATAATAGGCAAAGGGGGGTTAAAAAGTTAACAATTTTCAAAAATTTAAAAAAAAAAAAGATTTTTTTTCGTGTTTTATACGAACATACATATGATAATGGAGATGTAAAATATTAATATCGAATTCAGCATAGTTTTTATTATACGGTTAAAGTTATCCTATTTCAAGTGAATATATATATGACAATAAATTCTCTTGAAATGGTATGGTAATTAATATCGAATTCGGCATAGTTTTTGTTATACAGTTAAAGTTCTCTTATTTTAAAGGAACATACATGTGACAGTACATTTTCTTGAAATGGTATTGTGAAACTTTATTATCGAATTCGGCATAGTTTTTATTATACAGTTGAAGTTCTCTTATTTCAAGAGAATATTCATATGTGGGTATATTCGCTTGAATTAATAACAAATTTTGCATAGTTTTTGTTACATTTTTAAAGTTTTTTTTATTTATTTCAAGAGAATAAATATATGACAAAGGCGTTGCAAAATATTAATATTTTATTCGGTAACGTTTTTGTACACAGTTAATGTTTCAGTATTTATTAATCTGTATAATCCCATATCTCGCATATCAATTAAAATTCTAATTCAACACTTAAGTTCAGTATTTCTCTAACAATTATCCAATACTCAATTTTAAATGGAATTTACAATTTCGCATTCAAAATAACGATTCTAATTGGTTTATTAATCAATTAAAAAACATTTATAATTGATTATTAGATTACTCAATCTTTGATTCATGAGTAATTTTTCCAAATCATTTTTGACATTATCTGTGTAATTTAAGAGCTACGTTTGTGATTTTCAAAAATATAAATAATAACCAAATTTCGAAAATAAGAAAATAAACGTTGACTAAACAATAATTAATTAAGAATTGAGTGAGAATAAATTGCTAATAACAGGATATATTTTTTGGGATATTTCTGTAATATGTATTTAGATTATATGTTATTACATTTCTTAATATTATAAATGCATATATTCCAAAATTAAATTATAAAATATTAAATTTTATCCCAGTTCTACCTAATTACTTTGTTAAACAGTTGATTATTAAAAAACATTTTCGTCTTAAGAGTAATTAGAATTTGTTCATAATATAGGATAGCTTTGTTTTATTTTTCTTCTATTTCAGAAAACTTAAAAAAAATGATAAAGTTACATTAAAAGTTAAATAGTAATCTAGTTAAAGCGAAATGTTGAACAATTGTTTCTTATTCATATTGTTAAAAATAAAATAAATAGAAACGGGATTCATATAGTTTATATTACAGAGACTTTTGGTACCATCAAATAATATCTAAGGTGCTTTAAAATAGTATATCAGCTAATAATAACATTAAAATAGTTAAACGCTACATTAAAAGTTAAGTTACATTAAAAATTAAGCGTTACATTAAACGTTCTATTAATCTAGTTAAGACAAAAAGTTTAATAATTGTTTCTTTTTCATGCAGTTAAAAGTAAAAATTTAAATATGAATGAGCCAAGGTTCAGATAGTGTATGTAACAAATACTTTTGCTGTATTCAAATAATACTGAAGGTACTTTAAAATTGCTTATTAGCCAATAAAAAAAAATAACCTGTTAACTAATAAAATCAATTATAAAATTTTAGCAGCAACGATTAGAGTTGTTTGCTTTTCATATAAATAAAGCCCTTTTGCCTTTAATAAGAGTAAATTCCACCTCTTTTCGTATGGGGGGACTTAAATAGTTTTTCTTTATCAATATTAATAGAGTTTTTAAATTTTTTTTAATTTTTCTTATTGCAATGTTGAACAAATATATTTTTTGTCGGCAATTCTCTTTTTTTAATGTAGACTTCATTTTAAATCAATAAAAAAGATAATAAAAAAAAATAATAATAAAAATTCTGTGGTACAAAGTTACTATGAGGGAAGACTTTGGGTCACTTAATATGTAGCCTTAAAACCTGCTTTAACTTCATTCCAGTACGTAATTAATCTCTTGTTGTCCAATATAGATACAAAATGTTTAAAGTTTTCAAAATTTTTTTTGTTGTCTAAGAACAAATTTCTGAGGGTGGGGGTGGAGGGCAAAATACCATGATGAAAATTTTTTTAATTAAAATACGAATAAATCTATTATTAGTTTTTCGATTGCAATTATTTATAATGAAACATTAAAATAAAAATCATACAATTAATTAGAAATTTTGTGAAGAAGAGGAACTGTTGTTTCATTTATTGATTTCTCATGTACCATAACATCAGAAATTTCGACTCTGCATTTTTTAATGATGTAGTGAAATTCGAGACTATTATTTCTAAATAAATAAATTAAATTTCTAGTAAACTGTTTCTTACCACTTCGTCATATCATCATTATGGTTTTTTCCTTCCCAAGTCTTTCCTGAAATTTTAAAGCCTAGGTTTTTAAAATAAATATTTCATTGATTTTGTAATATTTTTTTTCTGAAGAAAGAAAGAATTAGCATAAAATTTTTTTACTAAGAAAAATATTTTTTATTATGTTTTTTTAAATAATCGTATGAGTAATTTTTTTCCAACATTGAATTCCAGTTTTTGATTGCTACAGTTACTAACCTTATTTACTTATTATTATTTATTTTTTTACTTTCTATTTGAACTTTATTATTACTTAGCATTATTTTCTTATATAAAGCATCATTTAGACACTCTTGACGCGAACAATAAATAAATAAATTACCAAGCGTTTTTAACTTAGTTGTAACTTATTACCGTAAACACCGTTCGGAGAGCATAAATTAAAAAAGATTAAATGGAACGAAAAGTTAACTTTGTGATGTAATAAGGGAAAATAAGTTTTCACAGAAAAAAACACTAAACGTAATTTTCTAATTTACTCTCTTAGGCATAATTTAACTTTTAAAATTTTTTTTCTACAGTTGTTTCAAGTAACCGTTTAATGGCGCCACATATGCAGGAAGCGGCTATTTTCCTTTGCGCAGGCGCGTTGAAGGATTCTATTTCTGATCTTTCCGCTCCTTTCAAGTGAAGAATTATTAAGAGAGCAGCAGATGAGAGAGTTGAGTGAAAACGAAGTTTTGTGAGAATCGTCTGTGTTTTTAAGTTTTTCTCGTTTGGTGTTTATTTTATTTGTGTTCATTAATAAAAGGATATCGAAAAATGGGGCTTACTGGATGTTACGCTTGTATGAAATACCTCGTTGTGATTTTCAATCTGATATTTTGGGTAAGTTATAATTATATATTCTGATTGAACGAAATGCGATTCGCGCCAAAAAGTTTCATCTGATGAGGAAGAGCGTTGGGTTACAGATGCGCGCCACGTGCCTGGAATGGCATTCGTTAAAGTGAATGGGCTTGTTTATGTTGCTCTTTCATAACATTTTATGTTATGAGTTTCTTAGCGGAAACTTAGCAGAAGTTAAGTTCTATTTCAAATGTACATGCCGAGATGTTTTCCATGCCCATGCCCTCTAGTTATCATGTTTGCGGCAGTGATGTTTTTATTGATTAAAATTTCTGAAATATGTTGTTTCACATAAAATATTCCTTCGTTTATGCATGTTAATATTAAAATATTTTAAATTACACTAAGGGAATTCAACTTACAATTAGGAGACAAAATGCGACTCTTAAATGGTAACTGTGCGGCCTTTTGCATTCCAATAAAAAATTAATTAAAAAAACTACTCAATAAGCAAATAGAAGAACTTTTATAATTGTTTTTCCAACTAATCATATAATGAATTAAATTAATATTTAAATATACAGAATGAGAAGTTCTAATATACTTATCAAAACATTTAATTCCTTCGACAATTTTTTTTGATAAATTAATTTAACAAAAACATGATCGAAACAAATGTAGTAAGATCTTGTAAGTATAATTTATATATAGTGGAGAAATACATATTTCCACGATGCTAAAAACCTATACGAAGCTAAAAACTAAAAGACAGAGTGTGTAAAACCTCAAATGTTTGTTTAATTCCACAGGCACATGGGAAAGCGAATCGGTTGCACGGAAATTCCAACTTTTTAATACAACTTTCTTCAAAAACGTCGCAAATAAAAACGATATAACATCAAAAAATTTTAATAAAAAGCTGAAAGTCTAAAAAATTAAAATGTTTTTAATGTTATTTAACTCTCCGATTAAAATGATTGTTATAGGAAGAAATTTACTATTAGGAAAATTCGTTTCTGAGCGACTCTACAGATTTCGTTAGTTAAACATTTGTGAAGCCAATTATGGGCTACGGTAATCATCACTATTTCCAACAATACGACTATAGAATGTTGAAAAATATTTTTTCCAAGAATTTGGATTTAGTGAATCATCGCTTATAGTGGATTTATTTCCTGGGTCCACAGATGCTTCGCTATAACGAGGTCCGATTATAAATTATGTGCATGCAATGACATTGTTGCAATGACAAAATTGATATTGTTCTTATTTCTTTAAGATATAATAGTCACATTTTAATGAATTGATATACTAATTTAATTCATCGCTGTCTAAAAAAAGAAAAAAAAACTTTCCATTATACTTTTTTTTTTTGAAAAAGAATGGGCACTTTTATGATTGATTGATACACTATTACCATTTATAAGCTAGGCCATTTTTGGAACTCTTGCAAAACTTTTAAAAATAGTGTTTTTTTTTCTTCTATAGTTATGACGTTCAGAGCTTTTCATGTAGTTTAGATTTCTAGCCATCAACTTTTGTGATAAAAGGTACAAAAACAAAATATTTTATTTTTGTCATTTCAAAATCAAAATAAGCCGCCTCAAAGTGACTAAGCTCAGTTTATTTAAATAAATCTCAGCGTAAAAAATGTCATTAAAATTTCAATACATCAATTGTTTTATGCTATTTTTTTATAAGAAATATAAAAATATGTTTGTAGCTATCAGAGCCCGCTTTAAGGACTTCAAATTATTAGCCAAATTTTAAAATTCTTAACCAAAGGCAAATCCTAACAATTTTTTTATGAATGATTTTTTCCCCAAAGAAAACTTGAATTCAAAATACAGATTTACGGTACTTCGGGATTATTCCTTCGACCATTTTCTTACTATAAATTGAGCTATTTTATAAAATTCAAATAAGAATCATTTTACATTCGTGAAGAATAAAATGAGCAATAGATGAGAGAGAGAGGATGAAAAATGTAGATGTTTTATCGTCTTTGAGGAAAAGAAATAAGAGTAGGTTGGGGTTAATTTTTGATAACTTCTTCATCTAGAGCAGTGGTTTCCAAATGGCGGCCCGGGGACCGCATCCGCCCCGCGAAGCCTTTTTTTTGTGACCCGCGAACTAAAATATATTAGTTGTCATTTTTTTGCGGACAATTTTCGTAAAAAATCTAAATGGGTTTAAAATACTTTTCTTGTTAATAAAAACCTAAATTCTTCATTTCTGTGAAATTTATCATACCAACTGGGCAAAATAAATTTATTTCTCAGGTTTTGCATCCAAAAAATTTTTATTCAAATACAAAAATAATCGTGTATGTTGCTTTTTTCTATTTCATTCTTTTGTATTTTGTAAAAATAATTTAGCATGTGTGTATCCGAAATTTTCTCGGAGAAATTCTACGATTTAACTTTTTGAAACCACTCATTTTGGACGAAAATATTTACACACACATTTGTAAACTTTAAATTTAAAATGTAAATATCTATTCTCTGGTGGTTGCTGCAGACAAACCTCAATTTTGCCATTGAACGTTTTGTGCGCTACCATGTAAGTTTTAATACCAACCTTTTTAAAGTTTTATATCTTAACAATTAGATATCTGTTGCACATTAATTGTTTAATACATGGGTGCACATTAAAGTTATTGTAGCCCGAATTTTTTAATATGCAACTAAATATTTTTAACAGGTAAATATCTGACAGTAATATTTAATGTTCCTTCAAACATAAAAGAGTCCTACATAAAATTTTGACAAAGTTGCTGCCCGCCATTTGATTTGTGTTTTTAATTGTGGCCCCTGACCTCATGTAAGTTGGATGCCCCTGTTTTAGAGCAATAAAATAAGGATAAGTGGGAAGCAACATAATGTCGTCACGTTATTGTATAGGTTATTGTCATGAGAAAAAATATTTTTTGCTATGATAATATGCTTCTTGCTACCATTTAATACGTTTTATTGACCAGGGGTCTGTTTAGAAGAAATTTGGGCCCGTTAACGGACCATTCACTAAATATCTTTTCATAAAAACGACCCTTCACAAAATAATTTATCTTTTAATCGGACCCTTCACAAAATAATTTATCTTTTAATCGGACCCTTCACAAATTTGTTTATCTTCATTATTGTTTTGTTAATAGAATAAACCCTTCCCAGGAAGGGGGGGGGGAGAGAGAGAGAGAAAGACGATTCTAGACAAACTAAGTTCCTAAGTTTAAATTCCAAATGTAGTATTTTCTAAGAAAATATTTCTACTTTTACAAATATCGTGTGCGCATTCTTATCAATATTAAATCATAATTTTTTTGTGAATGAACAAATGATATTTATTCATAAAATTAATTAATGGAATATTCTGTAAATAAAAATTAATTTCTGGCAATTTTTTAAATAAAATATTATATATTTAAGAATTGTTTAAGTTTACTTAATGCGTATTACACATTAAAAGTAATACATTACTGAGTTGTGTTATTTGAAATATGTCAATTGCAATAATTAAAAATGTGAGCGATTTTGTTTCCATTATTCGTCTGAAATGAATATTCTGTGTTGAGCAGTATAGGTTAAAAACCAAATATTTGTATGTTGCAACTCTAATTTAGTAGCAGCAATTGCTGAGCAAAATCTTGTATCTATTTACAATTTAAAAACTTGAAAAGGTTTTTAGCAATTTTTGCAATAACAGAACCCTATTATCATAAAATCAGGACCCTGGTTAAAAGAAAGAGACTTAACGTTTATTTTATATTCACAAATTATGAATAGTTTTTTTCCGCAATTTTACAAAAACAGGACCTTTAACAAAATGTCTGGACAGACCCCTGTTGACATAAACTATAGGAAAGAATTTCATCACACGACATCGCATGATCCGGCAATGTACTTGGTAGTTTGTATTTTATGGTAGTTCGTATCATGCTTACATAATCTCTCTTGTAGCTTAATGCTTACATGATCTGGAGTTAATATTATTCTAATTGGCTATGCGACGGATCCACGACTGTCACCTAATAAAAAATACAGGATTTGTTCAAAAAATTTTGACCTTTTTTTTTTAAAGATGGAAGAAAATATGCATTTTTTTTTTCCTTTCAAAAATCATTCGCCAAAACAATTTTTTTCCCTCCGAATTTACGATTTTTATCGCATTTGATGAGGTGGTGAATGCTTAACGCGGGCCATAAGTAATTAAATATGTATTTTAAAGCATTCTAAATTTTTTTTTTAGTGAAAAAAAAGGAAGAAAATCTTACAAAAGAATTAATACTATTCTATTGCAAACTCACTCCTACCTTCCAAGCGTGACATCATTTGTGGAAGGTCCCTTTAAAATTAACTAGAGTTAAACATAAAATGTTCTTCAGTAACTTAGTGGAATTTGAATTGATTATATGTTTTGTGAAATATAATTTTTAATATTAAGTGTGAAATTTTTAATGTTTCGTTACCCTTTGTAATAAAATAATGTTTATTTGTAATTACGGAGTATTTAAAAAATTAAAATGTTGCGTCAACATTTTAATTAAAATCTGAATTGTACGGAAAATTACAATTATTGATTTATTGAAAACTGCTAATACATATGTGTAGTTAATTTTTGAGAAAACCTATTACTAAAGTCATTTTGTTATATAATTTTTTATCATTTATTATAATAGCGAGTATAATATTCACTAATTATGGCCACAAACTCAAAAAGCCACCATGTTCTTTCTCACTCTAAAACTTCTTGTAAATGTTCCGTTTTAACGATAAATGATATTGTAAAGTATCTACGTTATAAGGATAAATTATTTTGAGAATGGTCTGCTATAAAGGTCCGATAATGACCACTGTAATGGGAGTCAAACAATTCAAACACTACAAATAAAAAGGGAAGATATGGAAAATATGCGAAAAATCTCGAAATGTTTTATTGAAGAAAGGTAGCTAGCCTTCACGAAACTTTTAATTAATTTGAAAAATGGAGTGAATGACATCTTTTATTTATTAATTTTAAAATTATATCTCCTGGACAGACAT